TTAATGAATACATTATATTCACTTATTAATATCACTGATATGTATTCATCATGTTTTAATACCTAGTGAAAGCAATTTGGCACGTTTACTGTTTTCTTCTAACATGATGGCTATTTCTGAAACAGCCTAGCTGGAATTTTAATTATAAATTGACTTTTTTTTCATACTAAATGAGGACACCAAAGATAGTTTGCACAATTTGTTTCTATAAACATTTAGCATTGTGCTAGGTGCTTGAAAGCTCAAGCATAAATAAGATGTGATCTCTGCTTTCAAAAGGCTCAGAATGAGCTACAGCAATGGACAAGAAGGCACACAACTAGAAGATAATATAATACCTGCAATATAGTTATATGAAAGTAGTGATCAACTCTGTTGGAGTAGAGAAGTGTTTTTCAAGTCTGGGATTCAAACCATGCAATCAGCTATGTGGAATCCAGTCGCCTTAACTATCAGAACATGGGCTGGCCCTACTAATTCTTAATGCTACCCTATGCTGTTTCTTATAACATTAATTTATCCATTCATTCACTTATTTGACCAACATTTACTAGTGTATCAGTGAGTGTCCAAGAAATTGGGATATAAAGGACCAGCAGATGGTATAATGCTTACATTGTCAAACTCCCCATAGTTGACTGCGGTTCAAGTCCTGGACCTGGCGGCTTAAACTCACACCGGGTGCATGTGCATGCATGCCCAAAACCCAAGAAGAGACCTGAGAAGAAGGGAGTGTGATGTGGCCACCCCCGCTGGGGGGTGATTTCTTGCTTCCTGTCTCTCTGTTAAGAAATTGGGATACAAAATGGTTAAGATAAGTAAGCTTTCTGTCTAGCAGAGGAAACCATCTTGTAAAATCAAATGCTCTGTAGTACCTGTCATAACTGAGGTTCAGGAGAGAAGGAGACATTAATCGTAGAGTAGATGTCAGGGAATAACTTAAATAGAAAGGGTGCTTGACATTTGGAAAGCCATTCCAGATGTAGGGAATAGTGTGTGAGAATTCATGAAGACCTCAAGTGATTTTGTTCCTCGATGCTTCCCTTTTAAACCTTTTAGGAATCCTGCTTAGATGTCCTGCTCTCATTCTAACAGAGCAGTGGAGACTTGACTTCCATGCTTTTCCAATGGCAAAACTTGCTGTTCAAACACTGGAGTGTTGAATTCTTTTTTCACATTTGTCAAGCAAAGAATCTCAACAAATACTAATATTTTATTTTCTAATATCACTAAAAATAAATACTTTGTCTCCACTTTAAAGAACAGGTAAAGGTAGATTTGCAGTTATAGATCATTTAGGTATTCTTTACAAACTCTTCTTTAAAACCCCAGGGCCAGATGTATCCATGCAGATTTGTATTTTTGTATTTTACAAAAGTAAAATAATATATGTATCTCATCTTATCAAACACTTCCACCTCTGGCCCTAGCAAACTATGGGATAGCAACCTGGAATCAAACACATTGGTCTCTCTGCAGTAAACATTTAAGTGTTCTTTAAGAGAAATAAATAACAATTATAAATAGCCTCATATGGACCCAGCCCAGGTTTTCTACTAAATGAATTACATGAAACTATTTGGTTTCAGCACAGTTTGGGTTTCAGAATAGTTCATCAGCAGTGTGGACCTGTACAGTGACTAGACGAAGTTGTCTAGCTAGTAAGTGATGAAGCATCATATGAAACAGCCTCGCTCTTTACTTTGCTAGTACTATTGTCCTTTGTGCAAGTGTTGGACATTTTCAACAGCTGGCCATTCAGAGATTAGTGTGACATTTCTCTGGATTTTCTTTCTTGCCTCTTTTTGTTTCATTTCTCCTGCAGTTTAAAATCTTTTATGGTTAGCCTTGTCTGTCAAGAGAAGCTCATGTTCTACTCATTCACTCTAACATCTCGATCTCTCACTTTTCTGTGGCTATTCTCATTCCTTCTGGCAATGCAGATCTTGGATCCTTCAATCAGAATCACAAAATTAAAAATGTAGATTCCTGGCCCCTCCGACCTGCCAAATCAGGATGGATGTATGTGGGGTCTAGAAACCTACATTCCCACAAGCATGCCATGTGTGGTTGGCTTGTAAGTACGAATAGTTAGAGATCAACAAATCTATAGTGTGACAAAGCTGATGATAGCTCTTCCCAGGGATTTTCTTCCTCTTCTGGACACAGATTTAAACGAGATGCACCACAGACCATAAACGCTGAACTTTCTGCTCTTCAAAATCCACCCAAAGAAATTGCTTGGGGAGTTTAATTACTAAATGAGATAAACATAAAGAAATATATTAACTATACTAACTACTTGAAAATAACATGAATAACTAGGCCAAAGTGATGTTTCCATTGCCGAAGTCTCATTTTCTCTCTATTGTCAAATGCTCCATTGTAATTGCTTTCTTTTGAACATTTTACTCTAATGTACTGAATTTGGAGTGAAAGTTTTAGTAGAGTAACAATTGTACTTCTCAAATAAATTTTTCCTTTCTAAAGAAGTCAGCTACTTCTAGGGTGCCTTGTTTTTTTCTTTTTCTTTTTAAACTTATTTATTGACAGAAAAAGAAAGAGAGGGAGGCTGCCTTCACAGGGTTCTACCATTCTGTGATCCTCCTTAGCCTTCCAGCCAGTCAGGAGCACAAGTGTGTTCAGGCTGACCTGGGATCTGAACCTGGGCCTCTCCTGAGACTCCAGCATTGTGCATCATGACAGTACCGCCCACACCTCCATGGCTGGGCCTAGGGAATCTTTCTTAAAAGGGTCAACATCTTCTCTAATTTTCTCTATAGCACAAAAACTCTAAAGGTCAGCAGATATTTTTTCACTTACAAAAGCACAATATAACTTATTTTCAAAGGCACATACACATACTAGCAACGCTAAGATGGCACAATTAGGTGGGAACCAGCAGTTAGCGTAATGGCTATGTCGCTGGACTCCCACGTAGTCGAACGCAGTTCGCGTCCCGGACCCGGTGGCTTAAAACTCACACCGGGCACGTGTGTGTGCGTGCCCAAGTTCCCGAGAGGAGAATGGAGGAGAAGGGATTGCGGCCTGACCATCCTCCCTGGGGGGTGATTTCTCGCTTTCCGTCTCTATGTCTCTCTCTGTCTGTCTGGCGAGCGCACGCGCCCTATAGCAAAAAAAACCTCTCCAAAAAAAAAAAAAATGGCACACTTAGGAAGCCACCTATACTCTGGATCCAAAGCACTTTGGTTCACTCATAGGAATATTAATCTAAAGAAGTTATTCACCTGTGGTTTCAGTCACGTCAGCATACACCGGAGATCGGGGAGCACGAAACTATAACCTGACCAGCTGTTTACTCCTCAAGTTAGTGATAAAAAATGAATCACTAATACAATCACACAGGCAAAATCTTTTCATGTTTTAACAAATTATAATGTGGATAATTACACATGATTTTGATGAGGGCTAGACTTACTAAAATAAAGTCTGAATCTAGATTCAAACTGTTAGAAAATCAATTTCCATCTATGTCATTGACACAAGTGTCCCCATCATCAACCATCTTTTACTTGAATAGGAAAGTTTTTAAATGAGTATGAAAGTCCTTTAAAGACAAAATGGTACAGTATAATGCAGCTACTTACATTTCTGCTCACGTGGCACCCACTCAAATTGGGCACAATGCTTTTATAGATGGTCATAAATTATCATGTCAGAAACAATTTCAATGAGATATTTACAATGAATGAGTGTAAAGTCATTTGTGAAACTCTTCTTTTCTTTTTTAAGTCATGAACAACCTTGGGGTATTGACAGCCATTGATACAGGCAAGAACATTGACTGTCTAAATACTGCAGACTCAGTTTATGATAATATGATTCGTTATACTAATAATGCTGCAGAGGCTCTGTCTTGCTAATTACAATATTATAAATATTAATGTCATAGCCTTTCTGTTTGATTGCCACTCATGTAGTCATTCATCATGATATTTTCCTGGAATCCACATTGTAAGATTTTATTTCATTCTCATTTTTCTTTTTTCATTTGTGGACTTGCAATCATACACATTGTTCTTCAAGAAGGTTTTATTTTTGGATCTTAGGAGATGGACAGTGATATTTTCCACTAAAACTAGCCAAATATAAGTTACTGAGATGATGTTTCTGTCATTCTTTCTCAGTCCCTAACCCACTCTTCCAAAGCAGTGTACCCAGGGTTTTTGTTTTTCATTCTTTTTCATGTGACCTGTTTCAAGTTAAAATTCATTTGAATTATTAAATGCTTCCTTAAAGAATCTTTTTATACTGCCGCTCCCCTTTTTTTAAAAGTTAATTATTGATGTAGTGACAAGCTGAAGACTAAGAATTATAATTTTTTCCTCCCCTCGTTCAGGACGCAAGAAATGTCTTCTGACAATGGTTGTCTATTTAGAATAATACAAAGGAAATACAAAGGCAAAATGCTGAATGTTGTTTTAGAAATGAGTTGCTAAAATCACTGTATTATACAAAATGTAAATGTAGTGTATATTTCTCAGAAAATAGCAGTTAGTGAGAACGTTGGGACATAACCTTTTGAGGCCAGGTTTAACCACACAGTAGAAACAATTACAAAAGATACTGATTAGATTTTAATTTTAAGAACTTCATCATGTTACTCAGGACTCCAGTGGTTTGCTTGTCTGGAAAATAGAAAGGTAATGTTATAATTTCCAGAGCTTGTTAAAGAATAAAGAAATCTCCAGCCTCCCACTGGAAAGGATGCCAGTCATCACCACAGAAACCAAGGATTCAGAGGCTCTTTACACTACAAATTTCAACCTTTTTCTTTTTTATGACTTTGTGTTATATTGGTTTTATAAAAAGGTAACTCGCGGATCCATCATATAGCTGTAATCAAGCCTCCTTCAGAAAGATTCTGCTGGCAGTCTGTTTCCTCTGTTAGTGAGAATGTAGGAGGGCAAACAAGATCTGAAAGAGAAACTAACCAAAGCAGAGTTCTCAAGGATAACCCAGGAGAAATGAGCACATACCTTTCCGGTGAGTTCAGCAATACGTGGAACTGGTTTCCCCTTCTGGTGACTCACGGTGGCTGGACTCTGCCCATCCCAGTCTTGCAGTTCTTCAATGCTTTTCAAATAAAGCAGAGCTTTAAGGCCAGTGCAGTAGTCTTCAATCACAGTGAAATCCTGATTCTGAATAGCGCTGCATACCTAGAAAAGATGGAGTAAGCAATCAAAGGTCAAATCAAGAGCTAATTCTGTGAATGGATTGACTTTCATTTACTCAACAAATATTTATCTCAGGTACCAGACACTGTTCTAGGCATGATAGATCAATTGCTGCCTGCTCAGGGAGATGATTTCAAAGGTACACAGGGATACTTCTGGGGATGACAAATATTTTCATAAACTTGATGTGGCTATGGTGTCACAGGTGCACACATATTTCAAATTTACTAAATTGTTAATATATATACAGTTTATTGTCTCTCAGATATATGTCAGCACAGCTGTTAAAAAATGAATCACATAGGTTAAATTTTTAAGGGGTTGAATTTGGCACAACATAAGAAAGTCTGTTTTTTTTTTGAGAGATTTTTGCTATAGGGTATCTCTCACTAGAGAGATGGAGAGAGACAGAGAGACAGAAAGTGAGAAATCTCCTCCCATGGGGGATGGCGATACCACAATCCTTTCTCCTCCATTCTCCTCTTGGGATTTTGGGCAAGTACACACATGTGCCCAGTGTGAGTTTAATTCACTGGGTCTGGGACTCGAACCACAGTCTACTATGTGAGAGTCCAGCGACGTAACCATTACACCATCTGCTGATTCCAAGAAAGGCATTTGAACTCTCTCATTTTCCCTCTATTGGGATGTTCTGTCTGGAGATAGTTCTCATGCCCAGAGGTGGTGAACTGAGGCTGGAGTGCTGCTCATTCAACTGGCTTAGCCATCTTCATCCTCACTTGATGGTGTTTTCCTTTGTGTTCACAATGGTCTAGTCACTCAGATATTTACTCTTTTCCTTGAATTTCTTATTCTTTCTCTGCCTCAGAAACTTTTCACAAGATCCTCTCACTCTTGGAACAGTCTTTCCCGCCTACACATGGCTAAGTGCCAGCAGTACCTCAGTCTCATGGCAAATGTCACTTCTCCAGGGAGACCTTCAAGAACCCCAGCATAAGTTATAGTCTTCTTTTACTCAGACATCTTTGACTTACAATTATTGCATGATTATTTGGTTGACAGCTAGCTCCCAATTAGACTGAAGCCTCAAGAGGAAAGAACTGTATTTACGGTGGTCATTATATTAGTCCCAGTGACTAGTACAGGGTTTGTCATTTATTCTTCTCTCAATAATTGTATGTTGAACAAATAATGTTTTTAAAAAGATTTTTAAAAGAATTATTTATTTATTTAATTCCATTTGTTATTATTATTATTTTGTTATTTTATTTTGACCAGAGAGAGACAGAGAAACAGAAAGTGAGAAAGCAAGCTGCCAGGTCTGGGTCTTGAAACACAGTCAGTCATGTGGAGTCATGTGTGAATATAATACCTTAACTACCACGGCACCTGCCAGCCCCTTTAAAAAAAGAGTTTTGAATTTCGTGACCGTATAACAGAAAACAAAAATTTAAAAATTCTGGGGTTAAAGGAGAATGAATTAGGGAAATCAGGATCCTTCCACAAACAATATACTCGAGATTCTGTGAGTATGGTTGAGATTTGAGTTAGAGCTCAAAGAAAATGGATATAGATACAGATTTCTAGGTTGACTGTTTCCAATCACTTTTTCTCTGACATATTGACCCACACATGGGTCAGACCAACAAAGCATTGGGTTTCACCAGCACACCACCACAGGGCCCCCCCCATGCTACACACTTTTGAATGTTATCTCAGTTAGTCCTCAAAATAACCCTCCATTTGTTATTATTATTATTTTGTTATTTTATTTTGACCAGAGAGAGACAGAGAAACAGAAAGTGAGAAAGCAAGCTGCCAGGTCTGGGTCTTGAAACACAGTCAGTCATGTGGAGTCATGTGTGAATATAATACCTTAACTACCACGGCACCTGCCAGCCCCTTTAAAAAAAGAGTTTTGAATTTCGTGACCGTATAACAGAAAACAAAAATTTAAAAATTCTGGGGTTAAAGGAGAATGAATTAGGGAAATCAGGATCCTTCCACAAACAATATACTCGAGATTCTGTGAGTATGGTTGAGATTTGAGTTAGAGCTCAAAGAAAATGGATATAGATACAGATTTCTAGGTTGACTGTTTCCAATCACTTTTTCTCTGACATATTGACCCACACATGGGTCAGACCAACAAAGCATTGGGTTTCACCAGCACACCACCACAGGGCCCCCCCCATGCTACACACTTTTGAATGTTATCTCAGTTAGTCCTCAAAATAACCCTAACAGGTAGGTTTAATTTTGAGCCCTATTTTACAGATAAAGAATTTAAATCTTAGGGAAGTTAGTTACAAGGTGATAAAGACAGGATCATGACCATATAACCTAAGGTGACCTACATCTAGAAAATATTGGAGGAAAACTCTTTTAACATGGTTATAATGATATTTTCCTTCAATTCTTCCATGAACCAAACACACTTTTAAAAATATCTCCAAATTATCATCAATAGAAAAATAACTATTGTTTTGAAAAATTCACACTAGAATATAAAATTGTCAATGTTTCTCTTTTTTATTTACCTTCTTATTTATATAGTATGACTAACAACAAACAGAAACCAAAAATGGAAACAACAACAAAAAAAATGTCCTATTTTAGAGTACCATATATTATTACAATGTAGAAAAAAGCATAGAATAACTACTAAATACTAACAAGAGCATTATTTATGAGACCCATGTACGTTACATTAAAAAAAATCTGTTTCTCAGGAGGAACAATCTGAACACTAATTATGCCTGTTATAACTTTCCCAGAGTTGATAGTTTTTCTTTTCAGAACAATTATAAAGAACATCATAATTTCCTCCACAGGTTTCTTTCCCCTTTCTTTTTTTTTTTTTATAAACTATAGAGTCAACTGAAGCTTTACCTAATCCTTTTTGTTCACTCTCAGATTCTTTTTTTTATATATAATATAAGCTTATGGGCATAGTTTTATTGTAGTCTTAAAATAGTTCACCATACTAACGTAAGAAAATCAGATTTTGAAAATCACTTCATGTCATGTACTCTATGGGATTTTCATGACTGTCACAAAAGTGTACTGTTAAAAGAAATTCAGATATGCTTTGCGAGATATGAACAGAAAAGTTCAATCTCAGGCATGAATTTTTTCAGGGAGAATAACAAAAGTCATTGATTTTCTTAATAGATTAATGTGACACAATGAGTATACAGTAGACTTAGCAAGTGATTGAAATGTAAACTTGGTGCATGTTTACTATGAAAGTGGGGCCTAGGGCTGAGAAGACTCCCTCTGTCCCACCTCTCCTGTGCTCTCCATGCTGCAGTATCAGTACTCAGGGAAGCTAGATTGAAGGCATGAAATGGACACACAACCTGAAGCGGCAGGAGTGACTGCAAGACAGTGACTTGACTGGTGCATGGCTGGAGTGGAGTGCCATATGGGACTCCACCCTGAGAGAGTGCTGGGGGACCTCTTCACATACACTTAATTGTATGGATGCACTGTGTACCTTTCATAAGTGAGGAATTTAATTTCTGCTTTCCCATAACATTAACCTATGAATTTTCCTGATGGAATTTTCGACATAGGAACTTTATATATTGATATTTTCTTGAAAATTTTTAATATACATACACATCATCTGGAGATATTATTAAAGTGCAGATTCTAATTCTGTAGGTTTGGAAGAAGACAGTAGAAAGGGACCCTACATTGCTGATGAGCTTCCTTCCAGATGATGCTGATGCTGCTGGACTAATCTTAGAAGAGCAAAGTTTTAAACGTTGGTTGGTGTGAATCTCATCTTACCCTAAATGCTGTCTGCAAAGTAAACTTTATCCAAATAATTTCTTCTTAACTTTTACTATTATATTAACATTTTCATGACCCTTTGAAAGAAGCACTCTTTGTAAAAAGAAGTCACATTTGAAGAAATAAGATTAATTTTCTGATTAAGTAGTAATAAGTCTAAAAATAAATCTTAGGAATGCAAGAACAACATTGAGAGCAGAGCTCTCTCCATGGGGCGTGATCTCAGCAAACAGAGTTGCTCAGAAAGGGGTCTTGTTGTTTCCTAGCCTCTACCCTCCATTTGAGGGCTTTGTCACCATCTCAAAGGTAAATGATTCCTTTTAAAACTCCAAACATGTAGCTGCTATGCCTAAATGGGTGTATTTTATATGACATCTCTTAATTGTTTGTTTAACAGCTCTGATTAGAACTCTTAATAGCTGTTAACATGTTTGCTTAGTATAATTTGTAAGTTCTTTATGGTGAGGGCTGGTTTATCTTCCTTCGCAGCAGGGCATCAGGTGCCATTATAAGGATCGTTGCCACTATTAATTATTTCTATAAGTGTGAATATTTCTATAGTGAGCTGTGTTAAATAGGGATCCCTAGAATATCAGCAAGACCAGCCCTGTGCAGAAGCTGAGTAGATGGTAGCCCTCTGCAGCATGATTTGAGGTGTGCAAAGCTCCCTTGGCAGTGAACACTCTCCTTCAGAGGTCTGACCCAGTGCCCTGAATTTTTACATTAGGTGCAAGTGTATTTAGTGGAAGCCTGTCTAAGCAGAGTGACTGTACAAATACGTGAGAGATGACAAAGGATTGGCATGGGTGGTTATTCTTTTCTTTTTATTTCTCATTAAATGAGATTAGCTAGATTAATAGTAAATGACCTATATACAGAGAATTATAACTTAAAAACTCCTTTGCATACATTATTTCTTTCAATACTTAGAATAAACCTGGCTTAGGCAGGAGAGAGGGTAATATTCTTACTTTAGAAATGGAAAGAGATTGAACTTGAAGCACTATGTCTTAAAATTAAATCTAGCAGTTTTATGTCATATCAAGTTAAGATGTGGAGAGCATGCCTGTAGAAGTCAGGCACAATTGGGTGCAAACTGTTTCTTAGCTATGTAATCATGAGTAACTTTCTTTACTTAAAAATGAAGATAAATGCTTAGCATGTAGGAAACTGAAAGACAATATACTAAAGTGCTTAAAAATAGTAGCTAGTATTTAGTA